CCCTCCCTTCCAGTGTTATGCAAAACAAGCCGGCAACGGCGCTCCGACTCCAGGTACCAAACCAGCCCTAGCGAGCCGCGCCCGGGAGCGCCCAGCGGCCCCTCTCGGAGCACAGGCATGCGCCCGCATCCGGGGTCTCATTCTCGGCTCCGCCGCATCCCCAGCCGCCCTGCTACCGGCAGCGGGGCGGCCGTAGAAAAATCCCTAACTATAGGGCCAAACTTTATGATTGCAACAGGCATGGGGTGGGGAAAACTAGAGAAGGGGTGGGGGGCGCGCACGCCTTGTGCTGGCATTTTCGGTGCAGCTTATCCCAGCAGCAACCCCCCCCCCACGCCCCTGTCTCCAAGTCACCAGCTTCCTCGCCCCCACCTCCAACTCCCGGCACACCAGGGCACCCTCTCCTGTCATGCGCGTGTCTCCGGTGGGGCTCCCAGGCGCCGCCAGAGCCCGGGACGCCGCCTCGCCTTCCCTTCCCCCAGCATCGCCGAGCGCGCCCCGGGGCCGCGCGCCGCAGGGGGACCCAGGCATCCCCAGACAGTCCTCCGCCCCCATCCTGCAGTGCTTTTCCCCCCGGGAGCTTTGCCGGTTAGCGAAACCAGGAAGGTTCTATCCCCGCCCGCATGTCCACGTGCCCCGCAGACCCCTATGGCTTCAGCGGGCAACTGGCAGGAAACTCCGCGCTGCTGGCGCTTTGGGGGAGCCTGGGGGGGGGGGAGCAGCAGAACGCGGGGTATCCGAGACTGGAGGATCAGGGGACTCCGGGGACCGGGGCAAGCGCCTGTGCCCGGGCCACAAGTCCACGTGAAAGTACGGCAGCAAGTGCCGGGAGCCTGAGGGCGCGCCTCCCGCACCCAGAGCCAGCGTAAGGGTCCCCCACACCTTGGCGCGGCTCAACCTCCCCAAGGAAGCGCAGAACCCCCCAGCTCTGCGGGCGTGGGGGCCGGACTCCAAGCAACGAAGGCTAGACCCTCCCCAGCGGCCGTAGCGCCCCCAACGCTCCGGCACGCGCGGGAGGACCTCCAGCTCCCAGTCCCCATAACGAAGCGCAACGCAGGGTGCACGGAAGGGGGGCTCTGCAGCCTGGAACCCCCGATCCCCCCAACACGCCCACCGCTGCCTCCCGGCCTCCGCGGCTGCGGCGGCAGCCCCCGCAGCTCAGCAGCCCTGCCTCCGGGCCCGTGGCCCCTGCTGGCCGTACCTGCGTGTCGGCGAGATAGTTGAGGAAGAAGGAAGAGAGCTCTTCGTCCAGCAGCGCGCCGCAGTCGTTCCCCGCCATCTTCCAGCCGCGGCTGCAGCGTGCGGCGGAGTCAGCGCCGAGCCGGCCGGGGGGGAGGGAGCGAGCGAGCGAGGAAGGGAGGCGGGAGGAGGGAGAGAGGCCGGCGGGAGGAGGAGGGCGGAGCTCGGGCCCCGGCTGCCGCAGGGCAGCTGGCTGCGGGGGCGGGGCCGCGCTGTGCCCGCTCGAGCAGGGGGTCGCGCCCCCACTTTCCTGCGCAACGTCTGGCGCCGCGATCCTCGCCCGCTGCCCCCTGCCCGGGAGGAAAGCGCCCGTAGCCTGGTGACGGTGCCCAAGCCGACCGTCCGATGCCTGCGCAGCAATGCGGGCAGCCCACCGCTCCTGCCAGAGCGAATCACGTTGCGTTAGCACTGGGCGGGTCCTTCGAGACAACCTGCTTCGGCACAGCTGGGGAAACTGAGGCCTGGGAAGGTAGAGGACCTCGTTTGAAGCCACAGTGCAGTTCAGTGCAGGAAGACAAAGCCCAGGTCTGACTGCCCTGGAGGCTTGAGTTTGTCATGCCGGGCTGCAGGCCAGAGAGGGAGGGATACCATAGGTCAAAGGTGGAGAAATCCGGGAAGGCTCCTCAGAGGGAGCGGCTTTTAAAAAAATCTTTTCCTTGGAAGATACGTTGACCCATATTCCAAATGTAACCCTCTCTCTCTCTCCCTCTCTTAAGTATCCCCTCACTCCCTAATTCCCCCCAACCCCTCCCAAAAAAAACCCCAAACTTCAATGACTTCTCTTACCGTGGCCCACAATGTCTTCAAATGGCCAGCCTCCTGCATGCTTCCCCAGGCCCACTGGCCTCCTCCCAGTTTCTTGGGTGAACCATCTCACAACAGGGTGCTGTCCCCTGCCAGCAGACATTCATCTAGTAAACCACATCTTCACCGCATCCTTCCTTACTGTCCCTCAGACTGTCAACCCATTCCCTCTCCCCCCACTCCCACTGTCCTGGGTTCCCTTAGTTCTGCAGGCCTTTAAAACACTGGTTAACAGTTGTCATTTTACATTAGTTTCAGTGAAGGTTTGATCTTGGAATCTCTTCCTACTAGACTCTAAGACCCATGGAAGCAGGGCCTGAATCTGCTTTTGCACATGCTATGTCTCCAGTTGCCTGGCATATAGTAGGTTCTTAATAAATAATGTGTTAACTAAAAATCACAGAGGATTTTGATCCCCCATTACCACCACCATACACTGTGTGGATAAGGAAACTGCCCAGAGTCAAGGGTGCACATGGAGTGAGTGCCAGAGCCAGAACCAGGACTCGGGTCTCCTGACGCCAACCTTGAACTCTCATCATCATGCCCTGCTGTTTGCCAGGCAGGAGATGAGGGCACCGCCTGTGCAAAGGCAGGAAGGCGGGAAGATTTAGGCCTGTTTTATTGGGCCCTCCTGCCTCCTGCTCTCCTCCCACCCTGCGCTCGCAAGGGCTGACCCACCCTGCCTGCCCTACCTGGGCTCCCTCCCAGCCAGAGGAGGAAACAGGGAGGGGCCGCAGTACACATGCTCAGACTTGAACACCACGGCAAGAGCTTCCTTCTCCAGCCTGAGGTTCCCAGAACCGCAGGGCATGATTTCACTCTTTGGGCTTTAGACCAGTGCGCTTTTAAGGGACAATGAATCCCGAGAGAAAGCCTAGGACTTCCCTGGCGGTCCAGCTGTTACGACTCCACGCTTCCAATGCAACAGACGCGGGTTCGATCCCTGGTCAGGGAACGAAGATCCCACATGGCGCACAGCCAAAAAAAAAGAGAGAGAGAGAGAGAAATCCTACATGTAACCTTGGAGCACTAGCCTGGGAGACAGTAGTCCCAGGTTCTGGTCCAGCCCACCACATCTCATTCCAATATTGGGCAACTCAGGGAGTTAAGAGCATGGGCCCTCTAGTCAGATTGCCTGGTTTTCAACACCTGCAAGTCATTTAGTCTCAGGCCTTGGTTTCCTCATCTACACAAATGGGGTTCATAGAGTTACTTACTTCAGGACTTCCCTGGTGGTGCAGTGGTTAAGAATCCGCCTGCCACAAAAAAAGAATCCGCCTGCCAATGCAGGGGACACGGGTTCAAGCCCTGGTCAGGGAAGATCCCACATGCCGCAGAGCAACTAAGCCCGTGTGCCACAACTACTGAGCCCGTGTGCCACAACTACTAAAGCCCTCACTCCTAGAGCCCATGCTCCACAACAAGAGAAGCCAACGCAATGGGAAGCACCGCAACGAAGAGTAGCCCCTGCTCACCACAACTAGAGAAAGCCCGCACACAGCAACGAAGACCCAATGCAGCCATAAATAAATAAATAAATACTTTAAAAAGAAAAAAAGAATTACTTCATAGGGATGTTATGATGATCAAGGAGATGACATATGGAAAGTGTCTGGCACAGTACCTGACTTCATGGGGAAAATGCTAACCTCTCTGGTTCTCTGTTTCCTCATCTGTAAAAATGGGGATAAAATATTTGTCTCTCGGAGGCCCTGGCCAATGTTACTTTTCTTTCCTCCAGCACTTACAGGTTGCTGGCTACCTTGAACTCCAATAGGTCTGGATTTGAATCCTGGTGCTCACTAACTTTGTGCCCTTGGTTGTTTACTTAACCTCTCTGAGCCTCAGTGTCCTCCAGGTAGGGATCTTGTGAGGATTGAATGAAACAATGTGTGTAAAATAAATTGCCTAGCCCTGCACCTGGCAAAGAGGGAGTGCTAATTCTCAGGCCCATCATCGTCACCACCATCACCAGTGTCATCAGCATTAGCACTAAGGACGTGAGCTCTCCTAAGGCCCCGTTTTTCTGCTGTTGCCCATAGACACCAGAGTCAGAGCCCCACAGGACTCTGTTTCCAAGAAGTGTCCCTACCAGATCCAGCCTGGCCTCTGATTGGTGTTGTGCCCCTTATAACCCAGGGGCCATTCTTGGAGGGTCCCCAAGGCCAGCCATCTCTAGCCTTGGCCTGGCAGAGCTGCAGTGCCAGACAGGGCCTCCCAGGGAAGCCCTCAAGGCTCTCGCCCAATGGCTTTTGTCTTTAAAACCCTGATGTTGATAGAAAAGCCACAAATTGCCCAGCTTCAGGGCGTTTCTTACTAACCCCTGTGTCCTCAGAATGGGCTTCTGGCTGGCAAGAAACTCAGGTGAAAAGGCACCTCACCTGAGATATCCAGCTTCTTTTGCAAAAACACCTTATCCCAGGAATTCCTTTATCAAGGGCCAACCACAGAGTCAACCTCATCACCTTCTCTGATCCTTAAAAGCCCTCAAGAAACCTAACAGGCTAGATGATCTTGTGCAGTTAGCTTCCCCTCTCTGAGGCTGTTTCCCTACCTGTAAAAACAGAAGGGTCAGGCTAAACCAACCTCTACTGAACACTCCAGCCCAGATATTCTGGCAGTTTATACGTATCAACCTAAACTTAACAGCTTTTCTGTACTGTACATGTGCCAGACACCTGAGTTTATATCATGTCAGATTGTCTTCAACAACCCTGAGTAATCCGGCAGTGTGATATCCATTTTATGACTGAGGAAACAAAAGCTTAAAAGGGGTTAAAGTGATTAGCCCAGGACCAAGCAGTTAGAGACACAGCTGAGATCTGAAGCCAGATCTGTGCATGGTCTAAGCCACAGACGCTTGCAAGGGATTGAGGAAAACTTCACATCAGCAACCCTTCCTGGGAAGCTGGAATGGTGGCACATTTCCTATTTTATGACTTTCAGGTGAAGGGCAATAATCATGCCAAACTTGGACTTCAAGTGCCTCAACTCCTATCTCCTCTGCCTTTTATTGGCCTTGCCTCTCCCAAGATTAGTGAAAGTTTGCCCTGTCCATACCCTGGGCAAAGCCCAGACCGCTCCAGACTCCATGGAAATGGCTACAGCAGAGTGAACCTATTTGACTTGAATATTTTAGTCACTACCAACAAATCCTCAAAAGTAAAAAACATCAGTGTTTTCTCCCTTCTGATAATAGGAGAATGCTTTACTCAGATATTACAGCCATGATTCTCAAACTCTGGAGTCATGTCAGTCACCTGGGCCCTGTCAGCAGAGATTACAATTCAATAGGTCTATGGTGGGCCCAGGCATCTGCATTTCATAGGCTCCCCTAAATGACTCTGCTGCAGGAAACTACCCATCATTCAATAGATGTTTAATGAGCACCTACTATGTGCCAGCCAGTGTGATCAGTGAACACAACAGCTGCCACCCCTGCCCACATTCTATTCAACACAACTGCTTAGTGAATTTTTGTCGAGTGAATGGGGGAGATAGGACATGGGTCTTGATAATCACTGAGGTTTCCTGCCAGCTGCCCATAACTCTGTGATGCTCTGACCCAGACCAGGGAGTCAGACACACACCTACTTCCCACCTATTTCTCCAGTGCCAGGAGACAAGGACTCAAGCCAAGAGGAACTAAAAAGTTACCTGGTTTATATTGTTAATTTAGAAAGCCAGCTCCATCTTCTATTGAATTGCAGAACTTGAGAACTGTGGAGGGGCAATGGAGGGTATGTTATCCACCAGCTTTGCTGTACAGGTAGAAGAATGTGGCAGAGGTCATACAACCCTTCAGGGGCAGAGCCAGGACTAGTAGCCAGAGCTCCAGATCGGGTAGTGCTCAGGTGTCTTCACAGGACAAACTTCTCCGGGCTGAGGCTGTGGAAGACATCATCCAGTTGTGTCAGTCGAGGGTCTCAGAATTGGGGACAGGGGCTTCTGGCCCTTGAAAGTCCATCATAAGCAAGGCACTTGTTTGTGTTGCCCTCTTCTTCCTGTAGGGCTAAATTATAAACTCACCAATACCTTTGGGAGATACTTACCAGATCACTTTCTCTTTGACACACTACAAATGATGAAAGGGTTTCCAAATCAGCCGGTGAGGGCAGTAAACAGCTGTGAAGTCAGCTATGACTGTTTTGCAGTTTTGCAAGGACAGATTTTCATTCACCATCCTCTGCCTTGTTAATGACTGTGCACAAGTATGGGAATCATGAAGCGGGG